TGTTCCTGGAACCACTGCTTCTCTTGTTATTCTTAGTGAAGAACACAGCAGCAGCATTATCACAGTATATTGTAACTGGTCTCTGTATTGAGTTCACTAATTTCAATCCAGCAATGAAATTTTTGAGCCAAATGGCATGAGATGTTGCATCATAGATAGCTATGTATTCTGCTTGAAATGTAGAAGTAGCAGTCAATGATTGCTTACTTGCTTTCCATGAAATTGCACCTCTTGCCAACATGAAAATGTAACCAGATGTAGACTTAAGGTCATCATGATCTTGCTTATATGAGGCATCTATGTAACATTCTACTTCCAGTTCTTTATCAGATCCTTCATATGTTAACATGTGGCTCATAGTCCCTTTCAAGTACCTTAGTACTTTCTTTCCTGCAATCCAATGTGCATGCCCTGCATTGGATTGGAATCTGGACAACATATTCACTGCAAAGGCTATATCAGGTCTTGTACATACCTGTGCATACATCAAGCTGCCAACCAGCCTTGCATATGGTATTTTGTCCATTTTATTTCTTTCAAGTACATTGACAGGACATTGTCCTTTATGTAACTTATCACCTTTTGAAATTGGGGCTTCACCCCTCTTACAATTATCCATCCCAAACCTCTTTAAGACCTTTTCAATGTAACCCTTTTGAGACAATCCCAGGGTCCTCATTGGTCTGTTCCTGACTATCTCAATACCCAATACATAGTTGGCTTCACCCATGTCTTTCATGTCAAAGCTTTTCATAAGAAAAGATTTTGTAGACTGTAGAAGATCTTTGCTGTTAGTTGCCAACAAGATATCATCTACATATAGTATGAGGAATATAAAATTACTCCCACTGAACTTGGAGTATATGCATTCATCTAATTTATTTTCCTCAAAACCAAAGTCATTTACCACAGCATCAAACTTCTTATACCATTGTCTTGATGCTTGTTTTAGACCATAAATAGATTTATTCAATCTACAAACCTTATCATTATTGAGTGCAAATCCTTCTGGTTGAATCATATGGATTTCTTCTTCCAAATCTCCATTCAAAAAGGCTGTCTTTACATCCATTTGATGTAATTCCAAATCAAAGTATGCTACAATGGCCATTATGACCCTGAATGCATCTTTTGTAGAGACAGGTGAAAAAGTCTCATTGTAATTGATGCCCTCTCTTTGATTATAGCCCTTAGCCACTAATCTGGCCTTATGTCTTTCAACCTTTCCTTTTGCATCTCTTTTGGTCTTGAACACCCATTTACAGCCTATGGGTTTTATAGAGCTTGATCTATCAACTAGATCCCATACTTCATTGTTTGACATACTAGTCAATTCATCCTCCATGGCCTTCATCCATTTATCCTTATTTGGAGATTCCATGGCTTCCTTAAAACTCATGGGATCATCATCATCTCCTAGATCAAATTCCATTTCTGTAAGGTAGACATGATAATCATCAGGTATTGCAGGTCTTCTTTCCCTTGTGGACCTTCTTATAGTTGTAGTATTTGGTCCTGCAACTGTTGGTTGTTCTGGTATTGGTTCAGACACAGTTTCAGCCTCAAGTACATGTTCTTGATCATGCAAAGGCTCATGTGTTGGTTCTGAGGGTTGATTCTCAGTCAAATTTTCTGCGTTATCCAATATATCACTTCTTGCTGTAGGTATGGATTGTGAAATCAAGTTTTCACTTTCAGGGATCAAGGATGATTCCTCTTCATGATGTGTCATCCAAACGTCCATGTCATGAAAAGTTTGGGAAGAACTTCCCAAATCTTCATCCTCATTAAACATCTCATCATAAAACACTGCCTTGTTTGTTTCAAAAATTCTTTGTCCTCTTCCAGGATTAAAGAATTTATAACCTTTGGATTTTTCTGAATATCCAATGAAGAAGGCAGAAAGTGATCTTGAATCCAGCTTACTTAAATTTTCAACATGATACTCCCTAGTTTCTGCTTTACATCCCCACACATGAAGATGATTTAAACTTGGTTTATATCCATTCCATAGCTCAAAAGGTGTTCCCTTTACTGCCTTGGTTGGGGTTCTATTGCAGATATAGTTTGCTGTCTTCAAGGCTTCTCCCCAGAGAAACTTTGGCAGACTAGATCTTGCAAACATGCTCCTAACCATATCCATTAGAGTCCTGTTTTTCCTTTCTGACACTCCATTCTGTGTAGGAGTATATGGAGTTGTATACTCGGCCTTAATGCCAACCTTTTCCAAATAAATAGCAAAAGGCCCCTTATGCTGTCCCTTTTCAGAATATTTGCCAAAATATTCTCCTCCTCTATCAGATCTAACTGTTTTAATTACTTTCTCAGTCTGTCTTTCAACTTCTATTTTGAAACTAATAAAACAGCTTAAAGCCTGTGACTTTTCTGCCATCAAGAAGACATGGCAGTACCTAGAAAAGTCATCAATGAATGTAATAAAATACTTGCTATCACAGATTGTTTTGATTGTGAAAGGTCCACATATATCTGTATGAATCAATTCAAGAATGCATTGACTCCTTTTGGACTGAAAATTTCTTGAATTAGTCATCTTACCCTTTAGACAGTCAATACAAGTTTCAAAATCATTAAAATCTAGTTCTGGTAAAATCTTCTGTCTAATCAGGTCCTGCATTCTTGACTTTGAAATGTGTCCTAATCTTTTATGCCATAAAAAGGATGAAACATTTTGTCTATGTTTCTTCTTGGTTCCAGTCATTTTATTAATAGAGCAAATCTGTCTCTTATTTCCTCTATTGATGGTTTCATTAATGCAATTCAGATGCCAATAACCATCTATCAAATATGCATTTCCAAAACACACATCATCTAAGTAAAATGACATACAATCTTTATTAGCATAGAATGTAATATTATTGTTATTTACAATCTGGGAACCTGACATCAAATTCCTTTTAATCTTAGGGATGTAATATACATCATCCAATAATAATACATAATTATTTTTAAATAACAATCTACATTCTCCAATGGCTTCCACCTTCAATGCTTGTCCATTTGCTGTACACACCCTTGACTCATTCAACCTTGGGACTGTTATCCTTGATAATCCCTGTATTGAATTCACAATATGAATAGGTGAGGCTGTATCAAACCACCATGAGCTGTCATTTTTGCATACCGTGGTTTCTAAAGAAAAGAAATGATTGATAATACCTTTCTTGCTTAACCAATCCTTGAATCCATCACAGTCCTTCTTAAAATGACCTGTCTTCTTACAAAAGAAACACTTCAGCTCCCTTTTCTTCCTAAAGGGTTTTCCTTTATTCTTGCTACTCGAAGCAGAAGGAGTAGAAGAATTTCCCTTTTGAAAATTGGAACCTTTCTTCATCTTGTTCTTAGCTAAAGACATGTGGTTGATGGATATTGCTTTTCCTTTATTTTTCACCTCTGATTCTTCTTGGACACAAATGGTGATCAATTCATCTAGAGTCCATTTTTCTTTCTGTGTGTTATACAGGCTTCTAAGGTGGCTGTATTGGTCAGGCAGAGAATTCAAAAGTAGATGAACCAAAAATGAGTCGTCTATAGAAATTTTCATTTCCTTAAGTTTGCAGGAAGTATCAATTCCTTGCAGAATGTATTCTCTTATACTGCCTTGACCACTAAAGGACATTCTTATTAACTTATTCATGAGATAGCCTGTTTCTGCCTTGTCAGAAACTTTGTATTTGTCGGCAATAGAGGCAAGATATACCTTGGCAAGGTCTGACTCTGGGATTCCACCCTTGACAGCATCAGTAATACATTTCTTAATGTATATCAGGGCTATTATGTTATGCTTATGCCACTCTTGATGCCTTAGTTTAATTTCCTTAGTTGCATTATTAGGGGGTTCTGGTGGTGGATCTTCTTTAAGAACATGATCATAGTCTAGAATCCCTAACATGAGTTCTTTGTCTTCCTTCCATTTCTTATAGTTTACACCGTTAAGGGGTGCAAAGTTAATTACACTCATTGGGTAATGGGCTGTATGGGATAAGAATTGCTGTGTTTCTGCCTTGACTGGTGATCCTGAATCACGAAACAGATTCACTACTTATCAATCATAATGTGTTTATAATTATAATCAATTATAGGACTTGTCAGTCTACTTGATTACAAATGAAGACATCAATTTCGAATTTTGATTCCCTTTTATAAAAGCATATCATATTTCGAAATTTCGATGTGATTAAGTGTCTGTCTCATTTAGACTGCTATGGCAGTATGTGAAAGAAAACAGCCACTATCAATCTGCTATTTCTATGAATTTGCAGTATTATTGTTGAGATTCTTGACTACTGTGGTAGTACTTTGAATCGCAATATCCAGAATCACTATGGTGACATGTGGATTCTTTGTGCAATCTTGATATTAATATTTACATAATCAATTTAAAGAATTTCGATCACTGCCCTAAAAGGAAAAAAAAACTTAATTCTTTACATGCAGTCTTCAAAACAGAGCATAGAACAATCGATGCAGTCCATTGAAATAACTCGATTGCACAGATTTCTTTGTAAAGCATGAATAGATAAATTCTGTATGTATCGATCAAAACATAATTACATCTCAATTCAATCCTGTGGGTTGATTGGCTCTGATACCAATTGTAAGTATCAACAGCTTTTGATTAATATAATCAACACACCATTGATTGAATTGAAGTAAAACAAACTCAGAATAGTTTAGATACATACCTTGCGCTGCAGAAGAAGATGCTATTTGATTATCGTTTTGTTGATCACCCATGTTTCTATCAAGATCCACACCGAATCCACACCATTGATGGTTCTTGGTTAATTAGTGGAATATTTTGTGTTCTTGATTGATATGAATGATTTGACGCCATATACTGTATATAAGGAGAGGGAAAATCGGTTCCCACCATCACAGAACCGAATAACTGCCAATTAACTGACCTCTGTTTATATATGTCGTTAATTGCCACTGAATTAATACAATACGTGTGATGTATATATATAAAAACCATAGACTGTCATTGTTCATTAAATCTTGTTCTCAATCTGAGCAACTAAGTACATAACAGTACTAGTTTGATAGTATTAATACTAACAGTGTATAACTTAGAAATTTAATATTGAAGAAATCAATATTAATGTAATCAATGATGTCTACTTAAAAAATTTCACCCTTTGAATACCTTTCATTTCATATCTTCCATGAGCAAACATCTCTTTTGGATGGCCTTGCCTTAAAAGCTCTTTTGTTACTGTCGCAAAGTTAGGAGCCTATGAGAGTGATTTTTTTGATGATTGAATGCCATATTTATTGCACAAAGCTAATGATGGTGATGCAAGGTACTTTTATTCAGTATTTGGCAAGGATGCACCTTCTAGAGCAACCATATTGAAGCAACCAATTTAGTAAGGTCGACACATATCTTTCCAAGTTAGTTAAAAGAGACGCAAAGAATAGTACCTCTTCCCTGGCTCTTCATGAGTTTGGATTATTCGCAATGTCTTTAATCTAGACATCGGCTTTGTCTTCTATAGATTGGAAGGCATTGATGACATATCTTGAAGCCAGTCAAGTTTCCTACCAAAAGAAACTCAATCATTTGTCAATAATATGTCAATCAATTGAATATATGAATAATAACTAACCTGATATAAAAAGAAATTTAATAAACTGTCAATCGGACCCTCAAACTTAAACTAAGGGGCCGTTTACTAAATTTTTACTCGATAGGTGCTTACTGGGTCATTTTACCTTATCGGATGAATAAGGAAGACTCGTAATCTTATCTAGTAAGAGCGAAGACAATGACAGAGAGTTTTACCAGGTAAGAGTAAGTGAAAGCAGCGATTCTTAAGCGCTTAATGGATTAAAATATTGCATATGATGTCACTTTAATATATTAAAATCATACTCAATAAGTTAAATAAAAGTGTTGAATCCTACCAGCAAGTGCTTACCAGGCAATAAGTGCTTAACTTGAACCACGAACAGCAAGTTCATGCAATTAAGCTTCTTATTTTACGTAAGTGAAAGAGCACGAAGATACCTCATATGGCCAACCATCAATAACAAATACATCTAACGAGTGGCGATCTTCTATTAAATCTTGAGAAACAAAAAACAAAATAAAAGACTGATCAGAGGGCCTGGAGAAACAATTAAAACATGACCAAATGAGGAGAAATAAAAACAATACCAAATGAGATCTACTTCTTTTATGTCTTTGATTTTCCAATATTTAAAATGCTCATGAGTTGAATTCGCAGTGCGTTGAGGGAGAGAACTCTATGCTAAATTTAATCACATAGATCTTGGTTGGAAGTAAGTTATGCTTATTAATCTATAACAACAAATATTAATCTTGGAAAGTTTCTAGACATATCATCAATGACGATTAACTTGCTTAACTTAAAATAAAGCAAGGAAAACAAATGCTTACTGTTACTGCCATTATCCATGTCTCAAGCCTCTTTCAACAGCAAAATATCCAGACCACTTAGATGAATCATGGAGAAGTGATCAGCCAACAAGCCTTTGGTCATGGTAACCCAATCCAAGAAATTAAGAAAAGGGGGAGTCAAGTCACATAAGGATCATGTAATTCAAACCAAAAGTGAAATTACCACTATAATTGAGCAATGTAAATATTCAAGAATGTACTAAATACAAAAACTCAACCAAAATCGTAACAAAGTTTCACCAAACGATGGTGTTGACAAAAGAAGACAAAAACAAAAATGAAGAGGAACCACACAGAAAATATGTGATTTAGAAAAAACTCCGAGCTCAAAGGGCTTGCATATTCTTTATCCCAAACATCCATGCTTCCAACTAACGCAACTCAGGCCCAAATGTTGAGAACAACTATTAGGGGTGTATAAAAAAACCGTCAACCCGTCCAACCCAACCCAATTAAACCCAACCCGCCTAACCATCAACCCGTCCATCCGCCAATTAGGAGGGTTGAAATTGGGTTGAGCCTAGCTCATTCCGCCCAACCCGCCAACCGGCCGCTAATATATAATTTTTATAAAATTATATTTATATATATATATATATGTTTATAATGTATATATATTATTAATGTATAAATTTTATATATATTCTATTGATATTATATTTTGTTTCATTTTAGCTAAACATATAGGTTATCAAAAGAGAATCAGGATCAAAGAATGATGACAAATAATCTAATTAATAAGGAAAATTATTGATTTTTTTTGCAGCAACAACAAATTGATATGTTGGAGAATACGAATGATATTGATAGATATTTGATGGACGGATTCATCAATCTATGACGCTTTAAAGAGTTATATTAGAAAAATGTCTTATCTAAAAGAGTTACAATATGTTTATAAGATGATTTTGGACGTCTTAACAAATTCTATGATGTTTTTTTAAATAAAGTGTCGTATTAGTTATTTTATACAACACGACTTGAAAAAGTGTCATATGAACATAGGTGTCCTATAAATAGATGAGTTTAGGGGACACTTCTCAACACATTTCGATAAAATAACTAATACGATATTTGATGTAAAGATCATTCTAAAACACTTGTTGAAACGTCCAAAAACGTCCTATAAACCTATTGTAATCTTTTTAGATAAGACGTTTTATAATATGGTCCATAAACTTAAGTTTCATGAATTATTTCATTCGTCAAATTATGTAACTAGCTACTAACCCGCCAACCCAACCCGCCTCAACCCGCAAGGGTTGGGTTGGGTTGGGTTACACTTTTGAATGGGTTGGGTTGGGTTGAGATTTTTCCAAACCGCCATGATTGGGTTGGGTTGTAAAATTGTTGTAAACCGCCCAACCCAACCCGCGTACACCCCTAACAACTATTAAACCCTAACAAACCAAGGAATAACAAACCTGTAAATTTGATATTCATAAACAAATGATCAAATCAAAAAGTTATTAATAGATTACATAACATAAGTCAAAACCAAAGAGATTATTTCGATCTTTGGAGCTATAAGGGTGAGTGAGCAGCTTCCTAAACCATAAAAAACAAGTTTGCAGTGCACAAGCTGAAGAAGCTCAACCCAAACAGTTCTCAAACCCTCACAACTAAGAAGTACAAGATGGTAAGATTTGGAGTCGCTTGAAGAGCCTCAGCTAAGGTCGAATTGTCGAATTTTTCTTTAATAAACTCTCATTAGATGTATTCTGATCAACACATAAGAGAATAACACGTAATGACCTTGAGTCAGGAGAACCAAACCAGGAGAAAACCCTAACCGCATAAGAAGATTGAGAATCGAACCATCGAGAGCTTGAATTAAAGCAAGAAAAAACCATATCCTTTTAATTATATGATTTGAATTACGAATCGATCACATCGGGTGCATGAATCTTTGAGATGAATTAGAGGGGTAGAGAGCGTCTTATGTGTTAGGACTGAAAATCAGTATTAAATTGTATTCGTCTTGAAAGTTAATTTTGTCTATAATTGTTGTAAAAGTCATCGTGTTTGACTTTTCATATGATAGTTTGACTTTGACTATTTGTGTCTTGTTTGACCCTATATAAAGGGTTTACTCTTTGTAATTTCATGAATGAGCTAAATTGTAAACATCAGATTACGTAATATGAGTATGACCATATATTGGGCATTGACTTTCTCTCTCATCTTATTCTAAGTGTTCTTAGATGAAAAACATTTTTTGCCACGGATTTCTTGATGATCAGTTGAAGATTGATCATATTTGGGACTAATAATTGATATCAGAGCAGATTTGCAGGGAATTTGATTGAAGAAATCATCAAGAGTTGCACAATTTTCTGGAATTTCATCAAATTGTTCTTGAAGTTCATATTGTTCTTGAATGTTCATCTTTGTTCTTCATAAATTTCTTTCAAATATTTCATTTTTGGATGTTTAATTGTTAAAATTGTGATCATTGTGTACGGTTTTAAGTCGTGAATCAGTGTTATTCATTTGATTTGATCATTGACAGTAAAGATTTGAAGAGTTTTATGAATTTTGATGTTCTTCGTGTTCCTATGAAAATTCATCAAAAAGATAGAATTTGATCCATTTTTGTATGAGTTGTTGTAAGTTTTTGTGTTTGTTTGTTGGTTTGATCTAAGTTTGATTGACATTTTGATTGAATTTTGTTAGGATATCCTCACTTCACTTCATTGAGCGATTTATTCTTAGTGTATTTTCAAGCTTTGAGCGAATTTAACCATAAGGTGAGGGATTTAAACCATAAGGTGAGTGATTAAAACCATAAGGTGAGCGGTTTAGATCCATGTAGTGAGCGGACTTGAGCGGATTAAGGTACGATGTTGAGTGGATTCATGCTAAGCGAACTTGACCGGATTTAGAGCTAAGCTTTGAGCGATTTAGTCCTTCATCGCACATCCCTTGAGCGAGCTAGACTTGGTCCTTGAGCGATTAATAGTCTAGGTGTTGAGCGATTTAGACTTGTCCCTTGAGCGGTGTTGACCGGGTTAAGGCAAGGCCTTGAGCGTGTTAGTGTTACATCGCTCACTCCTTGAGCGTTTGCCTTAGGCGATTTAGGTACTTATTTGGGCGATTTAGGCTTAGTATTCAGCGAGTTAGGCTTAATCTTGAGTGAGTTAGACTTAGCCTTGAGCGATTTAGATTTAAGTGTGAGCGATTTAATTCATGTGTTGAGCGAGTTAGGCAGTGACTTGACGGGATTAAGAGATAGTCTTGAGCAACTAAGAAACTATTTTGAGCGATTTAGGTCTTAGCATTGAAAGACTTGGTTTCTCACAGATTATCTTGTAATCTTGCTTACTATATTGTCTGGAGTCCAAAGTTATTGTTCATAAGTCTGTTTGGTTTTAGCCTTAATTGCTTGGTTACCTTGTCTAGATTTAGCATTTGTCTCAAATCAGTTTGTTCAAAGATCACCTTGTTGAACATTTTTTTCCCAGATTGAATTTCTAGGAATTGTGTACATTTTTAGTTTGTATTTCTTTGATCAATTTCTTGAACTGCATAGATTCTTTGTTTGATCAATCTTGATTTCCTTAATGTCAGCTTTTCTTGAGAGATGGGATAAAGAATTAACAGAGAAGATTGTTGAATTGTAAAAGAGCATATTGGACTACAAAGAGAAATACCTTAATATGTTCTATGAAAGCCATTCAAATGAGGAATATATTAAAGATTTAAAAATGGATCATAAAGTAAAATGTGAAACAACTGAGAAGGACTTTCAGTATAAGGTTGAAAAGCTTGAGAAAACTCTAAGTTGTGTGAGGAAAGACTATGATGATGATTTAATTACTCCAAGCTAATAAAGATCTGTTTAATAAATTTCAAGAGCTGCAAACTGAGAGGAATTCTTTTGGGAGGAATAATAAAGAGACAGAGGACTTAACTGATAAATTTCATAAGTCTGAGAGTGAGTTGAGTGAGTTAAAGAAATTACTGGAATTAGAGAAGGAAAAAGCTCTGAAAGCTTAGAAGAGTTTAAGTTCTGAAAGAATGGAATTTGAAAAAGAGAAGAAGAGAATGTCTGAATTAGAGAAAAGATTTGGATCTGAACGTGTATCTTATGAGAATAAGATAAACTCTCTCGAACTGAACGCAAAGATGATGTGACTGCAAATCTCAGATTTTGAGCAGCTGATCATCTTGGAACGTGCCAAGAATGATAAATAGAAGAAAGATATCACAGAAGAATGTCAGAGTCAAACACAGAAATTATCTAACAGCATTGCTCAAAAGTAGAAGGCTTTAGATGAAGAGAAAGGCAATTTTCTCTTGAGAAGAGAAATACTATAAAGAAACATACAGCTATTGCTAAAGAGCTTGCTAATAAGAAAAATTGGCTTGACATCGCTTCTGAGAATGAAAAGAGCAGCTTAGATGAAGAGAAAAGAGAGTTAATAAATCAGAAAAGAAAGTTTGAAACACTTCAGAAGGAGTTAGAAGGTAAACTCTTGGATACTACAAGCAAATTGTCTGATCTGAAGACAGACCTTGAAACTGAGCTGAAGATGAGAACAGAACTAGAAATAAGTTTGATTTAGTTACTGTTGAAAGAGACCAGCTTTTACAGAAAGTTAAAGACTTTTCTTGTGCTCAAAGCTCAATTGGTTCTCCTTCTCAGTGTAAAACTGGCTTCTATGACTGTTCCAAATCAAACAGTTATTCAAGCAGCCCTAAATCAACTGTTTCTAAGAACTATTCTCGTTCTTCTAATCAGTATTATCAAGGGTATGTTATTAGATCACCCAATTATTCTTCTAAGATCAAAAGCATTTGGGTCAATAAATCTGAATCTGTTTCATCATGTACCCCTGTTGTTACTAATCATCTTCCTTATTTTGTAAGATCTACTACTGATTTGATTCATCTTAGCAAGAGAAGAATCATGTGCTCCACATGCAAATCAACAGATTTTGTGAACAAGAAGACATCAAACAGACGGAGTACAGACAACAGAGATCAAAAGGACTGGAAAGGTAAGAACATGTATGATTATAATAACTGGTATGGATCATATTATGTATATAATCATCCTGTTAATTGTGCTAAAAAAATATTTTCTAGAAATAAATGGTTTGGATACCCCAACCCGATACTAACAAAATAGGACCCAAATTCATTTGGGTACCAAAATCCATTTGATCTGATTTTGCAGGTGTGT